GGTCAACATTTCCCACTTTTTTCTTCACAATCTTAAGTCAGCATCATTTATATACATTTAAAACAACCAACATTGAGCCGAAGTGCTCAACTTGGAGACAGCTTGTGTTCAGTGGTTGAAACATAAACTAAATTTAGACTTTTTAACTGGGTAAGTGAACTTTTTTGTAGAATAAACATTAAACAATGATTAAAATATCAACAACCGTGTTATCTACACACAGCTGTCCTCAGATGTATTCAAACCCTCCCATTAAAGAAAAGGCAAAATTCACAATAGTCACTCAAATAACTAAATACTGAAAAAAGTAATAATAAGAATTTGCTAAATTAGAATTGAGTGAAATAAGACATTGCTTTTGAATTGTGGTTGAAAAGAACAATAATAATAATTTAAAAAAAAAACAAGGGGAAACAACAAAACACAGTCCTGGACAAATTAGAGCACTTTGCTGATGAGCAGTGGGTCAAAATCAAAACACCTGTCACCAGGTACAGAAGTCTGATGGAGAGTTACAGAAAACACTTGATTGCAGTGATTGGCTCAAAGGGTTTTTCAACAAAATATTAGTTTGCCCGTCCCATCATACTTGTTTGCTTGTTTTTATTTATTTATTTTTAATATTTCTGTTGAACCACAATTCAAAAGCAATGTCACGATTTTCATTTAAAAAAATTATTTGTTATTACTTTTATCAATTTCAACTTATTTCAGTGACAGCTGTTTTCCCCCCCTTCTATAATGGGAGGCTATGCATAGACATGTATAATAAAGGCCTTCATTATGTCTATCTATGGTTTTATGTCTCTTCTGCGGCTGCGTCTCACTTCCGCTGAGTGTTCTCGCCTCTGATTGGTCCACACGCGAACTTCTTTACGGCCGCTCGCTGGTCCGCCTCCCGGCGCTGAAGGAAGACAACATGGAGACAGCTGGTAAAGTAAGTCCAGTTCCCACGAAATGTGCAGAAAAGTCTTTTACGTGCATTCTTTAGTTATGTTTCGTCGTAGGTGGGCCAGAACATGCACTTGCAGGATGACAACTGAATCAGGGGTCCGTCAGCTAACGTGCACGTATTAATACTGTGCGCTGAATTCTGCTGCTCCACTGCTAATCAGGAATCTTTGATCAGTCAATGTAAGCTGCTGCAATGCTTTCTGAACAAATACAGCAATGGCATGTTTTAAATTCTGTCGTAAGTTTAAAAAAAATGTTCAAACTCCCATTTTGCACCAAATGTATGATTGTATGTTGTTGTATGTATGATTGACAGAATCACGCAGAATGTTAGCGGTTTCTCCAAACCGTTACATAAGCATGAGCTTGGATAGAGTTCAAAGGCTAACTCCACTGTGCAGCAAGCTCGACCTGCCACAAACACTGCAAAGCTGCAGCTGCTCACGTGCTTGTTGCAGCACTGTTTGTTTGACAAAGAGACTGTCTGTGCTTTGCTTTCAGGTGATCAAGTGCAAGGCAGCTGTTGCCTGGGAGCCTGGGAAGCCTCTGTCCATTGAGGAGGTGGAGGTGGCCCCGCCGAAGGCCCATGAAGTCCGCATCAAGGTGAACCCAACCACACTGGCTCATTTCCAAAAAAGAAAAAAAAAAGCCTGACTTGAATGCACCTGCTGAAACACTGAGCAGCTCAGTGAGGAGGATTTATTTTTAGATTGCACCCAGTTGAACTGTTGTTTCCAGAACAAGAAGTTAAAAAATCGCTCTCCAGTTTTTCCCTTTAAGAACCACAAATCATACCGCCATAATCCTTTATTTAGAGCCGTCAAAACATGCATGTAATTAGGTTGGGAGACATTACTGTAAAGTATATCACAAGAAAAATGTTTTAAAATAAATCATTTTTGCATAATCTATTAATTCTATGAAAAGCCAGGAGAAAAAAAAAGGATTTGTTTTGAATTTAACTGCCTTACAATGAATATAACCACTTGACCCTGTTCATCAGGGAACACATGACGATATTCTAATGTTAACACAACAATGATAAATTCACATGTGAAAAAAAGTACTCATAAACATTAGTGAAGATTTCATACATATAAAAAACAGAAAGCAATGAATGAGCTCTATTAATCTTTTGGAGTTTGTTTATGGAACTGGACTTTGCATTTCTATGTTTTTTCATGGCAGTTTGCACCTAATGCATATAAATCAACCACTGAGCAATTTCCTTATTGAGGGTGTTATTGTCTTATCAGGCCCAGTTATTATGTTGCTTCATAAATGGGATGTAACTTGAGTTAAACATTATATTAGGAAAAGTACAGTTAATTTTCCAGCTTTGCACTTAGCAGCATCTGGCAACGTCTGACGGGAAAACAACCCTGTGCTTTGTCAGATCGTTGCTACAGGGGTGTGTCACACCGATGCCTACACTCTGAGTGGCAGTGACCCTGAGGGACTCTTCCCTGTCATTTTGGGACATGAAGGTGCTGGAACAGTGGAGAGCGTTGGTGAGGGTGTCACTAAATTCAAGCCAGGTAAGCTGCAGTAAACCAAAACAGTCACATTTGGTCAGCATGCATATCAATTAGAATTCTTTCCATGTTTGAAATTATTATTCTAATTATCGATTGTTATTTTTCACTGAGGTGATACCGTCGTCCCGCTGTACGTGCCGCAATGTGGTGAATGCAAATTCTGCAAAAATCCTAAGACCAACCTTTGTCAGAAAATCAGGTAAAGTGTCCACATTAATTTATGCAACCTTGAGTTGGGGAACACTTTGTCTCATCACACATTCATGACACCTGATGTTTTCCTTGTGCTTGCACTTTGCAGAGTGACCCAAGGTCAGGGCCTGCTCCCTGACAAGACCTCCCGCTTCACTTGCAAGGGAAAGCAAGTGTTTCACTTCATGGGGACCAGCACCTTCTCAGAGTACACCGTAGTGGCCGACATCTCTCTGGCCAAGGTTAATGAGAAGGCTCCACTGGATAAGGTGTGCCTTCTTGGATGTGGCATCTCTACAGGTTACGGTGCTGCTATTAACACTGCCAAGGTGGGTACACAGGTTGTTGGCCATGTGATAACACTGCCTTACAATAGATATTTGTTAACAATTCTTTTTTTTTTTTTTTAAGTGAGTTAACCACCATTGTAAATGTGTGATTTTGTTATCTAAAGGTCATTGCACAAAACACACTTGTCACACATCGTTGCACTAAAGAGAACAGTAGAAGGAGATCCAAATTGTGTTATTCTTTACAGGATACAGTCTCTAGTAGGTCCACCTTATCAAATCATGTAGAGCTGATGTGAATATGAATTGTTGCTGGGGGGCTCTTTGTCCATGTTGCAGTTGTGTTTTTTAACCCCTGAAACTGTTCACGAAAAAACAGTTAAAACATGTTTTGGTGTCTTTCTAGAAAGCATGACATTAGACCTGATGTTTCTAATTATTGTCATTTTTAAACCACAGTACTTGTATACATTAAAAAGAGAGAAATCACAATATCAAATGCAAAAAACTCTAATTGTTTCCATTTTAGATTTCATACATAGATTTACAAGATTATTTAGCAACACTTTTGTTCCCACATTGTCATTCTCCCTTGTGCTCACTCAGGTCGAGCCCGGTTCCACATGCGCCGTGTTTGGCCTCGGAGCTGTCGGTCTGGCCGTCATCATGGGCTGCAAGGTTGCCGGGGCAACTAGGATTATTGGCGTAGACATCAACCCTGGGAAGTTTGAGAAAGCCAAGGAGTTTGGAGCCACTGAATTTGTGAACCCGAAGGACCACAGCAAGCCCATCCAGGAGGTTCTGGTGGAGATGACAGATGGGGGTGTGGACTATTCGTTTGAGTGCATTGGAAATGTGCAGATCATGGTGAGACTCGCTCTGTGTTCACATTTTATTATGCCAAACATGCAGCACATTGTATAGACACAGAAATGAGCAGCACGACAAGAACAGCATTTAAAATGTGGGAATGCATGAAAGCAGCAACCCGACCTGCTTATTATTTCAGAGAGCTGCACTGGAGGCGTGCCACAAAGGTTGGGGTGAAAGTGTCATCATCGGTGTAGCCGGAGCTGGACAGGAAATCTCCACCAGACCGTTCCAGCTGGTGACAGGCCGAGTGTGGAGAGGCACAGCCTTCGGCGGTGAGTGACTGTCAGAGAATTTATTGTTACAAAAGGATTAATGTGGTCTGACTGTAGTTCCCACTTTCTTTTGCATATTTTAATTTGAGCAAAACTTTTTCCTTTTATTAACCGGACTCAAAGATGACAAATTGCTTTGCAATGACAACGCCATTTATGGTGGTATTTTATTAGCCTTTGTGTGGTCATGCAATAACTCTGGAAGACATTTGCTTCTCTTAAACTTTAAGATTCAGCAAAAAATATTGTAGTTTTATATAATTTCTGTTACTTTTAGTTATTGTACCAAGTAGTGCTAGGTCAGCTTTTTTTTCTGTTTTATTTAAGAAATAAGTGCCTTGCCTGGGGCTTTTTGATGAAACATGCAATTCAGACAGTTTTGTTTGCCTGAGTGAAAATTCCAGTTGTTAAAATGGGTTTGATATTCACCTCCAGGGTGGAAGAGCGTGGAGAGCGTTCCTAAACTGGTAGAAGACTACATGAATAAGAAGCTGAAGGTGGACGAGTTTGTGACCCACACGCTGCCATTTGAGAAGATCAATGAAGGATTTGATCTAATGCATGCTGGAGAGAGGTCTGTAAACTGGTTCATTTATGCAGTCAGTGCATTTTTGAATTACTAAGTTGTCTTCTGCTGCAGGAGCTTGCAGGTTGTTTTAGGGTGGCCCAAACCGTCTTGCATGTACAAATCACGGGAACGGCCCCCTGTAGCACCTCTTTCTGAGCTGTTGTTTGGGGGAGAAAAAGTAATTACTCTGGGGTAGGTGCCTCTGAACAGCAACGAAAAAACTCTGTTCTGATGGCTTGGAGAGTGTGACACCATTTTTATTTTTTTTTGTCCTCATCCAATAAAAGTGTTCTCCTTTAACATCGCCATCAACAGTGTGAAATTCACCATATAGCAAACCCTCCGTTGTTCTATTCTATATCGTATGTGCTCATAAAACTGGATTTCCGTCCAGTAAGTAGGCTGCTGTTTCTCTAAATGCCTGCCCCAAGTTCTTGCAGTGGAAAGACGCCTATTGTCATAAAATATCTCTATGGTTTTAACATTTATGTTTGGTTCTTGTACAGCCTTTTATCTTTCTTTTATATGCAGAGCTTTATTTTGCTAACCAAACATATTTTCTTTCTTTTTTCCTCATTGCAGTATCCGTGCAGTGCTGACTTTCTGAAGTGCCTAAACTGACATCCTTCACATCCGGCCTTTTAAACAATCTCCTTCCATAGATGCAGCACTTGGTCGCCTGCACTTGTTTTGATAACGCATCTTTCAGTGTTAGACATTTTCTATTACCAGCAGGATGTATATTAGAAACTGACTAAACAGCGTCAATAAAAACTGTTGAAAAATCAAATCTCTTCTGTTCTGTGTGTTGCATGTGACTGATTTGATGCTACACTTGCCTGTCAGGCATTTGGCTGCTGCTCGTACTCAGGCCAGCCAACGATGAGTCTCTCCCAGCTGTTTTTAGTGTTTAACAAGGTCGAGACATGAAAACGGCATTAAATCATTACTTGACAGTACCCTTCCATACACAAACATGCATACAACAAACACTCACCATTAAAAATAATTGAAACTTAGGAATGCTGCCCGCTTACTGCAGCATTAAAAAAAAAAAAGACTGGGTCACATTTTGCACAAAAATAAACTTCTTGTTTGTGTTCATGATTTGGAATTTCATTTTAGCATCATGTCTCCTGTAAAAACCTTTGAGATAGTTTGTTAAAACCCAACCCTGGATCTTCTGATGGACACCCAGACTACACTGATATTTCTGTGGACAGGAACACAATGATATCACAATCGGCAACATAAATGATTCAGTAGAACTGTAAGAAAAACATTTTTTTTTAGATCAAAAATCCTCAGCCTGAGAAATTCACTTCTTTGGTATAATTTGGATTATCAAATGCTGTACTTGGGCTGCAAGGTGGCACAGTTGATGGCACTGTTGCCTCACAGCAAGAAGGTCGCCGGTTCTTGTCCTGGTGAGGACACTCAGGATCTTTCTGCGTGGAGTTTGTATGTTCTCCCCGTGCAGCGTGGGTTCTCTCCGGGTTCTTCCTCCCACACAGTCCAAAAACATGTTGAGGTTAATTGGTGATTCTAAATTGTCCATAGTTGTGAATGTGAGTGTGCTTGGTTGTCTGTCTCTAAGTGTAGCCCTGTGATAGACTGGTGACCTGTCCAGGGTGTCCTCTGCCTTCGCCCTACGTCCCCAGCAACCCTAGTGAGGATTAAGCGGTGTGTAGATAATGGATGGAAATGCTATACTTTGTTTAGAAATACTTAACCACAACAGAAAGTTTAGGATGATCAAAAGCATCATGCAACTACTTTACATATATCCCTACAATTTTCTCACACAGTCTATCCACTTCATTGTTATCGCTCCACAGTTTCTTCATGTAGGTTTAGTGTTTATTTTGTGCTTCCATGCCTGTCATCAGTAATTGAGGGAGAGTGACATTGTGTCCCACAGCCTGGATCAATATGTACTTCTTTTTTTTTTTGCCATCCTCTTGCGCATGCGCCTTGTTGAGCACCAGATGACCCAATCAGCTATTTTAACAGACGCCAAAAAACTGAATGTGATTTCCAGAAGATGGCGACCGCTCTGGTGGTGAGTTCCCTGCGAGACACTGGTAGCTAAACCAGGCGTTTAGCGTCCTGGCGACACGTCTGTCCGGTGTTTAGCACGTTAACGACAACAGACGAGTTAGAGGCAGTTTCGAGGCGCTAACAGAGAGCCGCGGGGATTCAGTAAACTTTGCGCTGTTTTTACCTCTTTGACAGGTAACGCAGCCCGCTAGCCAAACACCAACTTAGCATCGTAGATTAAAGTCAGTCGCTTTGATCCCGGTTACTCCTGATGTTACAGCTTGTAAGGCGTTTTTTTTTTTTTTGAGAAACGGTAACTGTAGAAACCGTAAGGAGGCGTGGACCCAGGTCGAGTTAAACTCCGGGATGAATGAGGGGACGGACTCTCCGGTAACGACGCTGTCAACCGTCCGGTGTGTTCCGGCGAACGTCCAAACTTCATGCTGAGCGTTGATTTTAGCCAAATTAGGATGTAGCGCGCAGGGGTGGACAGGTGACAGTAAATGCCTGTTATTACTCAATCTAAAACAGCTGCTATAAACGCTGCCTTTGAGAGGATGTGAGCCGCTGTTTCCTTCAGTTTAAAGTCACTCTGTTATTCCACATGGAGGTCTGGATGGATGGTCGGTAGGGGGGAGGGAGGTGTCCCTGAGGATGGGAGGTCAGTGCCACAACATTAAAACCACTGACATGTGAAGTGAGCAACGTGGATCATCATGTTACAGTGCAACAGTCTGCAGGGAACCCTTGATATGCATGTGGATGTGACACCCACCTAAACGTTGGTCTGATCTGCCTCCTGCACAAGGCGTCTTCAAGGAACACAACAAGGAGACATTGAACTGGCTGCCAAATTTCTCAGATCCAAATCCGATCCTGCACACTGTGCCAGAGCAAGCCAGGTCCGAGGAGGCCCCCCCACCCAGAGGACCCACTGCCAACATCAGACACCACAGGACATGTCTAAAGGTCCCGTATACAGTCGTCCTCAGATGTATTCATACCCTTCCATTAAAGAAAAGGCAAAATTCACAATAGTCACTCAGATAACTAGCAACTGAAAAAAATAATGATAAATAAAAATTTGCTAAATTAGAATTTATTGAAATAAGACATTGCTTTTGAATTGTAGTTGAAAAGAATAATAAAAAAAAAAAACAACAACAAACTGTACTGGACAAATTAGAGCACTTTGCAGATGAGCATGAAACACCTGTCAACAGGTGCAAAAGTCTGACTGAGAGTTACAGAAAACACTTGGTTGCAGTGATTTGCTCAAAGGGTTGTTCAGCAAAATAGTTTATGGGTCTCATCATGCTTGTTTGCTTATTTTTTATTTTTATTTTTTTAATTTTAATATATATTTCTGTTGAACCACTATTCAAAAGCATATTTTTTTAAATGTATTATTACTTTTGTGAGTTTCAACTTCTTTCAGTGAAAGTTGTTTTTTTCCTTCCTTACTGGGAGGGTATGAATACATTTGAGGACGACTGTCGGTCCCCATGATATTAGACAGCTGGTTTTAATGTTGTGGCATCTCAGTGTATGTAAAAGCAATTTATTTTCTTCCAGCTGCCAAAGCCCTGAAGTGCATGTAGAGTCACAGACAAGGCAGAATTTAAATGTCTTTAATATTCACATGGACGTGTATCAAAACTAATGAATTTAAATTTTTAAAGAAGGAGATTAATTTGGTCTGAAATGCCAAAAAATGCACCGTGTCTGTGCAGAAATTCACAAAGTACAAAGAGGAAATCCATAACAGGGAAAATACAAAAATATCCTCTGCAAAACTGCTAACTACTGAATTCCTCATACTCCCTAAATAGAAATGCAACGTTTCAATCTACAGTACAATGCACTCACGTAGTATCACTGCTACGGCATGAAAAATGAAAAACTTCAAAGGACAAATTAATTACAAGCATTGTAAAACAGCTTGTAGCTGTCATCGTAAACGCTGCATGAGAAACATGACAATTTCAGTTTTTTATGTGAAGCATCATTGTACCTTTTTTTTTGTTTTTCTAGGTGTCAACTTCAGTTCCTCCAAATCCTGAAAAGGAAAAATGCGAAACAACCATTCAGAAGGTTGTGAGTCCTGAAGCGTACATCAAACACCCATTACAAAACAGGTATGTTTCTTTTCCTTTCCTGTGTTCTTTTCCCCCTAATAGACTCAAGAAGTTAGAATTGCATTTTGCAGAAAACTTTAAAAATAAATTCATGAATACAGTTGAGATTACAGTTGCACGCCAGCTGGCCAGAGGTAAGCTCAGTTCTTACAGGATTCATAAATCACCGTTGTGACGATAAACTTACAAGATGTCAAAAAGAGAGTTTTAGAAGAGTGATGTTCCCGGAAAGTCGATGCTGTTATAATCAGGGAAGATACTTCAAAGGTACTACATTTTTAGCCAACATTTCTCCTCCTACTATCATGTACAAGATGTGTTTGTGTGTGTGTGTTATTGAGCTACATGACAAAGAAAGGCAGCACACGTAGCTACACTTTATATTAAGTTATTTATTCTTTGATTTTTCAGGTGGGCACTTTGGTTTTTCAAGAATGACAAAAGCAAAACATGGCAAGCCAACCTTCGTCTCATTTCCAAGTTTGACACTGTGGAAGACTTCTGGGCGTAAGTATATTATCGCTCTGTGGTTTACTGCAGTCAGGGCTGTAAAATGACACAACAGCAGAGCTATTCATAATCACATTTGTTGCAAGTGTATTTCAGCTTATTAGGAGTGGAAAGTTCAATTTCATTCTTAGTATAAAACATCACAGATTAGTTGATATTGAAGACAAGTGATAATAAAGTTCTTTTAATTTTCCCCAACAGCCTCCGTTCCCCTCTCTGTTGTTGTCAACTTAATCTGTTCCGATCGATTCTTTGTGAAACGGCAAACAATTGATCAATATTTTTTTTTCTGTTGTCACCAACACAAGGCTGTCTGCAGTTGCTGACACAGGAGTTTACACTTTATACTAAACACTAAAATATTATTTGTTCTTTCCAGATTATATAATCACATTCAGCTATCAAGTAACTTGATGTCTGGCTGTGACTATTCACTCTTTAAGGTAAGAGTGCTTTTATCACCGTCTTTCCCGCGTTTACAGTAAACTCACTTAAATCTGTGTCTTGTGTTGGCTTCCATTTTTAATAGTCATTTTCTTTCAGGGGGACTGAGTACAGATAAAACTTCAGTTTGTGTTGGTGGCTATAGGTTAGATTTACTTGTTCAGAAACCAAAATAGCATACAGTTGCCTTTTGGTCCTTCTTCGTACAAAGGAAGCAAGAGCGTTAAACATAAAGTTACATGGCCTGATGAGAAATTTCACTCAAGATTTGCTGACTTATGATCCTCTTTCATTTGTGATACATCGGATGGAGGGAATTCAAGCACGTTTTATTACAGGTACTCGCAGCAAGCCAGGCTACACTTCACTACACTTCAATTTATCTTCTCTGTTGGCCACAAAGAGCTCACGAAGAAAGAGTTTGTTATGATTATCAATCAAGACGAAAACTGCACCTGATCTGTCAAACGGATAGAAACAAAAGATGCAAAGCAGGCATCTTTTACAGTATGGCGGAGAAATTATTGTTGGGAAATGGGGGTTGCTTCAAAGGTTTTACTCATTTTCAATGAAGCATAGCCCCAGTTTTCTAATGAATGACACAGGCTTTGTGCAGTCACTTGTTGTTGAGCTTTTAAATTCCTATACAGGCCACATCCAGGGTGTTGTGTCTTGTTCTTAGAGAAGTGAGGGGAAGAAGCTCACCTGTTCTGTTCTCACCAAAAACTGAAGTTAACTACTTAACAGCCACCTTTTTTTTCTCTTCACTGAGAAGAACTAAAAGCTTTAAAGCATTTAGTCTGTTCGATTTTTACACTGAAAATGGTGTGCAGCACATAGTGACTCAACTGGTATGTGCTCCTTTTACACAACACTATACATCAATAGAATACAGGACTATTGCTGCTGGTGCTGCTATTGTTACCGTGGTAATGGTGTCTTAAAATGGTTTACACCGTTCGAATTGTGAGGCTTTGTGCTTTCAATTGGTGCCTGAGAACAGGCCAATGCCTTTTAAAACACAGCGGCAGGGTTTTTACTTGGTCTGCATTTGGGCCAGTGGGTGTTCTGAGGTTAAATCCCAACATGGCTTGTTTAAACCTCATTAACGGGTTCAGTGCAGGCACATCACAATGCCTAAATCAAAAGCCCACTCTGCTGCTGTTCTGCACCAGCTTCTTATGACTTAAGCAGCCCAGCCTTCTACTAATAATCAGTACATCTCTCCAATACGTGTAGTTTCATAGATTTATGTCCTTGGCTTGTATTTGACTACAGGATGGGATTGAGCCCATGTGGGAGGACGAAAAGAACCGACGAGGTGGCCGCTGGCTGATAACTCTCTCCAAGCAGCAACGTAAATCAGATCTTGACCGGTTCTGGTTGGAGACGGTATGCTCAGTCTTGTTGAGTATTTGTCATTTTAATTTTAATATTTTTGTACGGGAAGACATTTTGAGGTGTAACCAAAATAAAGTAACAACTGGAATTATTTAGATGCTTTGTTTCAGGGTCCTGGTCTTGTGCATGTTGCTCTTCTGTCCCACTGTCTAGGACTCTTGAATACAACAAACCCATCCAGTTGTAACAACAACTTTTCCTACAACCACAAGTCAATGACTCCTTGGAAGAGGGCCCATCACATACTAATTGCACATGATGAGGGACTGTCGCAGTAACGGGGCATTTGAATATGTCTGATTTTCCTGCAGCTCTTGTGTCTTGTGGGTGAAGCATTTGATGACTACAGCGACGATGTTTGTGGATCGGTCATCAACGTCCGAGCCAAAGGAGATAAAATAGCTATTTGGACCACAGACTATGAAAACAAAGACGCCATCACACACATAGGGTGAGCTGAAGATGCCCCAAGTGCTGATGACAAATTTGGAAAATCAGCAAGACATTAAGTCCTGTGTTTATATATGTCTTCATACATTTAGCCAGTTCTTTTTTTAACCTGAAGGGTGTACTACGAAGCAAGTTTGACATAGCCAGGCTTTCTTTGTGTAAGTCGGCTCGACAAAAACGAAAGCCCCAGCCAGAGATTATGTGTATCATGAAGGTGGTTATCAACTTTCTGTGTCAACTCGGGCTTTCTGATATTGTAATTACAGACTTCATTCAGTGATATTAGTAACATACAACTCAACATGTTAGCAGATAAAACACATTCCCTCAGCTGAGAATCTGTATCGCTCATAGTCAGGAAACGATCTGGTTGAAGGGAGACGCTCTTTCCACCCGATTTAAAGCCGAAACTCTGAACATAACCTGCTCCCGACCAGGTTAGCTCCACAGCATCAGTTACCATGGAGATCTAGCAGGTTAAAAAAGAGCCACCTTCATGACACTGAAGACTCTTGACTTGAAGCTCAACATACCTCACTATCTTACTCATCTAGCTTCGTAGTACAGCCCTCTGGTATTTTAACTTAATTTTTACTCCACGGTACAGTTGTAGATGCCCATTTAGCCTAACAGCTGCACAGGTAGTCTCACTATCAGGTTTCAGTCTTTCAGATCTTTGAAAAAAAAAAAAAAAATCCCTCTGCGCCAGAAATCTAAGATGCAGCATCATCTGTATCATGATGTAGACTTAGAATAGAAGATTGCTACAGTAGTGGAGGTGACAGCTAAAGTGTGGTAAAGACCAGTGTCTGGATGATCTTCATTTGTCATTCATGGCCACCACATACAAATGTTTAATGTTTTTTTCTGTGTGCATTTTCTAACATTCAATACATGTGTTTTTTTTTTTTTTAGGCGTGTGTATAAAGAGAGGTTAGGCGTCCCGCCAAAAGTGATCATTGGTTACCAGTCGCATGCAGACACAGCCACAAAGAGCGGCTCCACAACCAAGAACAAATTTGTTGCCTGAGGATTCATCAACCAAGATTTATTTTTTTTTGTCTGTCAGCATAGATTTTCTGTTATGTGTCCACGAATGTAACTGACGAGTTTATCCACCAAAACAAACATTTGAAATGGAGATAAAGTACCTTCCTTCATATTTGCCTGTTGGTTGACACTTGACCAAAGCTTTTGTTTATGGTGACAGTATGCGCAGTCAGAAATGTAGCACTTGTTTGGAAACTTTATTTTTGTGGTTGTGGGCTGCCAGTTTTAATTTTCAAATGCAGCTGGGGAAATTTAATTTATCTAGCCCTTAGTGTATACCAATACGTTTTTGTTAAAGTACTTAATATTAAAGGCAACAATTCAAGTACAAAGGTTTTAGTTTGATATGAAGTGTAGCTATTCGTACTGTACGTGTCACTCCATGTGCAGGATCAGTGTACAGGTTTACTGAAGGTCAGCTTTTTAACTATACATTTGAATTGTACTCGCATCTTTTGAAAACTCACACAGCGACGGTACCTTTAGTTCAGCTTGTCTTCATAGAAATGTCCGGATGGTGCATTGACGTCTTTGTGTAGCTGTCGTACTATTTTGGGAAGATGGACATCTTTAAAAGTCACTTTATCTGAGTTTAAAATGCCCAGTTTCTTTTCAGGCTGCTTGGGCAATATGAAAACTGTTAGACACTTGTGATGCTTGACAGTGATTGTCTAAAGACTCTGAAGGTCGAAGCTAACCCACTATAACCGTGAACATGAATATTCACAGTGAAATGGACCAATCCTATGTCATACCTTAGTTTTTGTTTTTTTCTTACTTGAGCGAAAGCATTCTATAACTGCCAGTCATTACATACCTGAGGTGTTGAGTGTCATTGAGAATTTTGAGTTGCACATAAAGATCTCACAGGAACAGATCTACCACAGTATGTCTTAGATGAATTTTCCAAATATACATCATAGTATTTTTTTTTTTTTTTCCTTTGTGCAAAAGCCATATTTTTGTGTTACATCTGAAAGTTTACTCTTTTCTTTTGGTATGAGTTTACATGATCTACTGCTTAAAGTTTACATAGTATGACTATTTCCATTCCAGACATTGTTTTTTTTTTATGTTGTTGTTGTATGTGATAAAAGCAGAAAGAATATTGTTTGGGGGGGGACTGAACTGTGCCTTTAATGTAAAACCCTGCCCCGTATTTCTGAGTTTCTGAAATGTACAAAGAAGCAATGTAAATAAAGTTGTACAGTGAAGTACGTTCTCTCAAAAAAAGAGGTGCCGTGAACTGATCATTAAGAAGTTCAATGCTATTTGAAGGTTTTTTTTCTTCTTCTTTACACTCTCGCATATTGTATCTGATTACATGAAAAGTCGAAATGACACATTGATCAAAAATAATCGCTCATGATTCATATCAAAACTTTAAAGGCAGAACCGCTTCAGGATACATAAGCCATTTAATAATGCATTCGCTCGAAGCAGAAATATTGCGCTTCGGATGATGGAAACATCACTGCTATACCATTCATCATGGAAAAGGCTGGTTTTTTTTTAAAAAGTTGAATTTATTGACTACAAATTCTGGCTTCCCATCGCTCTTTTAGCATCTCAGTGTTTGAATAATGCAACGTAAAAACAAGCGTTCACATCCTGTTCCTCAGCAAGGAAAGGAAAGCTGCTGTAAATAATGACTATCATAAAGTCACCCCTTGTATCTCTCTCCACTGGGCTTGTGTTCAGCTTTTTATTGGCTTTGTTACTATATTAAGGTAGATTAAGAGATTTCTGTAGTAACTGCAGCTACAGTAATTTATGGCCCTCACCTTTATTAGGCTACACAAATTACAGTTTGGCTTAAAGGGGCTTTAAGTAATCTATGACATCCTGTTTGAAAGCAACGGCAAGCACAGCCCATCCCGTCCATTTAAAATAAGCTTCCTTGTAATTGTCACAATCTATCAAGCCACATTTTCACACAAGAGACAACCGGGAGGAAATTAGAAGTGCGATTTGCAGAAATGTCTCTTGAGGTTGTGAGGAAAGGGGTTTATCTCACAATGAAGAACACAACAAGCGGCCTTTGTTGTAGTTGTTGGGGCATTTTCTGTTGTGTCGCTGTTAGACGTTTAAACTGCTGTTGGAACAGCAGATGACAACTGGACATGGTAACTGTTTCTGAATCTTCAGTCGGTGAAAACAGATAATAAAACGAGACTGTGCGGCCCAGTTCAGTCGGAGAAGCTCCCTGACACAGTGACTCAGGCACTTATATCTCATGTTGTGCATATGAAAACAGAAATGGTGGCGGCCCAATATCTCTGACAAGCTCTCACGCTCAAAGTCTTCCTCAATTCAAGAGGAATTGTCGTATCAGGTAGTTTTGAAAGAATATTGTGTACCCACTTGCCAGGTGATATGGAATTTTTCTGCTTGTCATCTCATGATTGTGTCAAGAAGTGTGTTGGTGCTCTTCAGCTGAAATGATATCCAAACACGGCTTCCCATATTGGCTGCGTTCAGATGGCACTATGGTCAGCCAGAGGTACCTATATATATATATATATATGTATATATATGTCAGTAATGTCCCCGTCTTTATGTGTACTGCGACTGGTATGTCAGACCATCTTTAGAATTGCATGTATATTTGATGAGCTGTAAATCCTGCCCGGTGGATTTATTTTTGCTCGTGTTTTCATACCACTCCGCTAAGCTGTGAGTTCAAATGAATTAACTCACGGCAGAAATAGCAAATCCTTCAGGCATCAGATGTGTTCAGATGTCCTCTTGGTGCCGGTCTGTGAGATAATTTTTCCATTTATTATATGGAATTGGGTGACTTACACGTTGCAATTATGTGTTCAGGGATCTGAATATCCCTCAGCACGGGTACGGTTGTGATAAAATATCTGAATGTTATTATCTGCTTGATAATGTGAACGTCTCGTGGTGATAATGCGATGACTCCATGATTGCGTTGTATGTAAAAGCTTCTTTTTTTTTCTCAGTCATTGAATCAAAACAGACGTCTTATTACATTCTGACAAACAATTGGATAATATCACGTCTCATATGTTCCCAGCAAGCCTTCCTTTTCTTGACTTCTTCCTACCAAGCTTTGAAGAAGACTGCCTAATCATTATCGTCTATTTGCAGCAGTATGAAGTATGAGTTAAAACATACTTTCCTTCATGTGCCAATTGTAGTTGATTAGGGCCTCTGGTGTAAACAACTGACACCTGAGGTGTGTGGATTTGATGCCTCTGATGTCCTGACACATGCAACTGCTAATCTGATGTGACACCTGTAATCGACTGAGGCAGCATGAATGTGCTCGATCTCAAAAGCCTGCACAAAATAACCAGCGGTACGGAAAATAAAAGTTTTCATGCAGGTTTTTGAAGTCTCTGAGCCAGTGGTGGAAATATCATTCACATCAAATTCACATCATATTCACACGTAAAAGTGTCACTCTATCAATGTCAAAACAGGAAAAATCATTTAAAGTAAAATGTCTTGAATCTTGTTTTTTACTAAAACTGTACTGCATCTCACACAGTTGTAATATTCAGGCCCCAGTTTCTCAAAATTGGTGTTTAGCAGAGTACTGAGTGAATGATTTTGTCACTTTGCACTTTTCGTGATTTGGGCTAATGTAGTTGTTGGAAGGGGCTTACAGTGAGTAGGTTTGGGTTCGCTGCTCATCTAATCAAAGCACACTTTGATATGATGTTTGTTTATGAGCTCATTTGCTGCTATGCGGATCAAAGCTTACGCTCACAAGCAATCTAAGGGTTTACTTTATATGATCCTTGTTTTCCCTCTTTTCCCCCATTTGCATGCCTTATTAGTCACATATGTGCACTACAATGAGCTGATATGCATACCCTAAGCAAAGCTACATTAATGCACTTATATTTGATTACAAAAGCAATTAGTTTCTTCGCTGGTTAGGCTTTCCACAAAACATTGGACAACAAGGCCTGGAGCATTCTTAGTTCAAAGATTGGTGCAGGTCATTCAGTTCAGTCAAAGTCTATCTCAACTTTGTTGCTATGTATAAACATGAATGATGGAACAGCGTACCTGTCATGTGACCAGGACAGGGGGCTTTTCTTTTCTTTTCCTTTACATAATCCTTCCACCAGGAGGCAGTAAAGCTACACACTTGACTCTAGCCTCCAATCTCTGACTCCTCCAAAAATGTTTTGGTGGAGGAAATTTGGATTCCACTGAGTGTGTCTTTGCTGCACACGCTAGGGAAAGAAGATATCTGTAAATAGCAGCTGGGTGTCTTATTTATTTATATACTCCCCCCCACCCCCCAATCCTAAGGAGAAAAAAAAAAAAAAAAAAATCCACATTCTATGCTCCCCCCGTTGCCTCAGGCAACTGTCAACCTCCGGCTCACCGGCCCACCTCGTATGCACATGTGCAGAAGGTACAAACCCAGTGACATGACACCACTATGGACGAGGCTGCAACATAAAAGGTTGCAGATAGTCCCTTGCATCTGCAGGAGGTGCTGATACTCCCTGTGTTTCATGACAGACTATTCGTTCACGCCACCTCACCAGCGGAGCAGCTTCTGAGGACTCTAAGCTAGCCTCAGTAGGTAGGTTATTATCTATGGTGCTGCTGACAGAGCCCTAGACTTAATAATATTCTTGTCATCTTTCCGTCTGAACCAGAGGGTAGAATTCACTCGTTTGCCAAGAGGTGTACAGTATGGGAGGCTTGATATCATGCAGACACATACACGTGTGCACAAAAGCACACACAAGCACCGGCTCTGAAACTGAGACTGCGTGTAGCACAGATCCTACGCTTTCAGATCAGTGGAATAAGCAAAGTGCTTCCTAGAGTTCAGTTTTTTTTTTTACCCTGATAGAAGCAGTACGTGGATGTAATGATGCAATAAATGTAATGTCTATACGTACATTTAAGTAGTGCATGGATGTGATGAGGCAATAAATGCAATGTCTGTTTATATGTTTACATAAATATGCTTCAGTGAAACTTCTTAATTTACAGCAATATTTTTGTTTGTTGTGTTTATATGAGGGGCTGCAAGGTGGCGCAGTGGTTAGCACTGTTGCCTCACTGCAAGAAGGTCGCCGGTTTGTGTCCCATTTAGGACACCCGGGATCTTTCTGCGTGGAGTTTGCATGTTCTCCCCGTGCAGTGTGGGTTCTCTCCGGGTTCTCCTGCTTCCTCCCACACAGTCCAAAAACACGTTGAGGTTAATTGGTGATTCTAAATTGTCTGTAGGTGTGAATGTGCTTGGTTGTCTGTCTCTAAGTGTAGCCCTGTGATAGACTGGTGACCTGTCCAGGGGGTCCCCTGCCTTCACCCTGAGTCGGCTGGGATGGACTCCAGCACCCCGCCACCTTAGTGAGGATTAGGTGGTGTATAGATAATGGATGGATGGATGTTTGTATGATTTTTGGCTGATTTGTCACTTGCCAGTCCATTGCACCGTGTTCTCTGAATTTAGATTTTGACATTTGGTGTTTGATGGGTCTGAAAATTCCAAACAAAACTTGATTTAAACATACTGCAACTTTTACGTTAAAAAAGAACAGTCAGAAGTGTTTCATTTGATCAAGGACTGTGATTTTAGTGCTTTAGTTCTTCAAGATACTCACAAGTCACTTTGCTACCACTGCCCAGCTGTTTGAGGACAGATGTAACGGGATCCCTTCCACAGTTAATGATTGTGTGCATGCAGCCAGCCCAGCGTCCCAGTCCTCCATTCAGCCCTTCCCCATTGATCCAGTTCTGGAATCACTACAGGCCATCGATATCAGGAAATCATTTGGTCAGGATATTTTGGATCCTTTCTCTTAAGACTACCTGCCCCTCCTATTAAGAAACACAACACATACGTGCAAACTTTCTATTCTATCACAAATCATTCCCAGTCTTTGGACAAGAACAACCTCAATACTTATCGCCCAGTTTCAAAATCTGTTCTGTCTTTCAAAGTCTGAGCCATTACACGAACATACAATCATCAGTTTAGATAGCAGGACACGTTGCACCACTGTATTCATAGATGCAGCATTTGATGCAGTTCTCCACTTACAGAAAGATTTGTCATTGCAGGTTTTGATAGTGAGCTCGCAGCCAGTTTCAGAATTACTTTTATGACAGATGTCAGTATGCGAGGATGCGGGATGTAGGGAGCCTGGAATGGATTCCTGCCCTGGGATCTTTCTGGGGCCCCGTCCTGTTCAACATTTATATCAATGACCATGTCTCTGCACTGC